TCATTAGCGAGGGGGGGAAAAAAATCAATTTGATGGCAAATCATAAGCTGTGTCTCATCAGAGTGAGTAAATGAACCCCTGCTCGCTGCTACGCAGACTGTTTAATGCTGCAGCTGTGTGCTGGGTGTGAGGAAGAGGCGACGAGGGTGATGAGTGTTTGGGAGAAATGGAGAAGAAGGAGTCTTTGGGGCAAAGACGCTGATTACGTCACGGTGGTGTTTACACAGCAGGAAGTAAGGAAGCCCATGGTACAGATGAGAAAGGTCAGGGAGGGAACACCGTAACATGCTAAATTACATACTTGTGTTTGTAAAGGCTCCTCAACAAACTAAATGTATTGACGTACAAACCTGTCATGAAAATTACGTTACTGACTTACGGAGGTCAGCAAAAAATTTAAGTGCCATGCCCACATATCATAAGATATTGCCCTTATGTTTATATCTGTGTTTGTTTACATAAAATATGTCACCTAAAGCTGGGTCGATTTCCAGTTTTGCTGATCTGGTCAAGTGTACGACCTTAAACGGCTAAATCGGCATTTGTAAGTACTGTATGACACCTCCTGGCAAATTAAAAAGGTAGCCTACATCAGAAACCTGTGTTGATGACATCACAGCTCTTAATCCTAGTAATAAGCAATATGACAAACTGATGAACATTATATTATGTTTATAAAAGGACTAACAGAGCCACTAGTGTCTGACAGGCCGTGTGCAATTTGCTGCTGGACCCAGGACGGTGTCAGCAACATGAAGGGGATCACATTTCAGGAGAGGTGAGAGGGAGGACAAGCAGCACGCGCTGTGTTTGTTTACCTGGGAGCTCATGGGTTTTTTGGGGTGATGAGACGAGACACGGCAGAGTTAGTCTCTCCAGAAAACTAAAACTGCACCACTACGATAACATTTCAGATATGAAGCTGACAAAAGACGTGTCTTAACTAGCTGCAAGCGTCATCTTGAGCTGAACTTTCCCCGTGTGTCACTCGCTTTGAAAGCGCCACAATGGACGAGAAAGGGCTGATTTATTAAGTTGAAATTAGGAGTCATCTATATGACACCTTATTATTTCACATCAAAAAACAAAATAAGGTGGAAGCTGGCAGGAGGGAGATCACTGGGGAGCTGAAATTTTCTGTTAAACTAAATGACCATTACTAATAACAAGCTAGGCTACTTGCTGTTGGCTATATTGCATCATCATGTCATTTTATAGTGAATATCACAATATAAAATGTGTGTTTTCCATTTTTGAAGAGTGATGTCACAAATGTAGGAAGACCGCAAATAGGCTACCCACCCATCTTTTAAATGGTTACATCTCCAGTTTCCGGGGGTCTCATTTATAAACATTGTATACGCACAAAACGAGGCCTGGACGAGGCGCTCGCCACTTCTTACGCAAAAGTTGTGATCTATAAAACCAGACTTGAGAGAATCTTTGACCCCTGCTCATGAACATTTAGGAGACGGGAAATTGGCAACGCAGATGGTAAGGTGGAAGCCTGATTGTAGAAATCGTCAATTTTTTTTGACGCATGCCATTTTTGGCTTTTGTCTGTACGTAGATTTTTAGGCCCAATCCTATCTCTGCCTCTTAAATCTTGCACTTGGTATTGAGTGCCCTCGTTTGCGAGATAACCCTTGATGAGGGAAGTGAGATATATTGGGGTAGAGATCTTTCCCTAAGAAATGAGACACCACTTCATGCAAATCGGCGTGGCCGACGTGCAGGCATACGTCACGTGTAGTAGCGATGCAAGATACCGGTAGTCATTCAGGTTTGAAAATGCTGGCTCCAGCACTTGTGTTGTGGCGTGTGCTGTGTTTATCCTTCTCCGTCTGATGAATCAACGGAGAAGAAATGCTGAAAACAGGAGGCACCTACGAGGTCTTCTAGTTCTGATCGATTTTGTTCGGTTAAGTTGATTTGTTTAAATATTTTGATGTTTGACGCTAGTCCAACCATCTGTTGCTTGTATAGCCAACATTCTGATTGTACAGTAAGAAATTGTTTTCAAAAACTTGGCCAAGTTGCTGACTTCGCAAGGTGTTCTTGGAAATTTCATCTTCTACTTCGTTGTAAGTGTGGGTCGGGGCTCCCTTGGAATCTAGGATGGGTTTTAAGTGTTGGAAACCACTACCTCAATTCTGTTTTGGGACACCACTAGCCTAAACGTGAACGCGCACAACCATGTGCAAGTGTGTATTTCTAAGGGAAGTGTGGGTATTGGGACAGGCCTTTAGTATGGATCCTACATATTGTTTTACAAATGAGAACCCAGATCTCAAACACATAGCTGATAGCTCTGTGGTTTGTTTTCAACAGATTCAATATGGACAGAGAACTCTGATGTTACGCCATGCTACGCGATAGCCAGATGCTCATCTTCTGTTAGGACATGGTGTCTTAATGTTCCACTCAGGAGCTGCTGCTTAGTCAAGGGTGACACCTGCTAAAATTCAGTATACTGGTCCTCTCCGGTGTTTGGCGTAGTATCAAACCAGTTTGAAAAATCTTCCCAACCACAGCAGGTTTTTTCCTATCATTCTAAGACCTGGAAACAACGCCTAAGGGTTTTTTCTTCAGGGCACCTGAGCCAAATCGACACACAAAATAACTATGCTGTCATTTCTGGTCACACTGCACACAGACACACACATGTATTTATGTCTTATTTATTTAAGACATACATTTATTTTTTTAATTCCAATTCAAATGTTTAGATATTCTTAAATATTAAAAGTTCCTTGCTCTTTGACAGTGTGTACTAGCATCGTGCTATTATAATATCATTATATTAGCAGCATAAAATTGTCTTAAAATGATAATATCATTTAGTGCAATTATTTTGGGGACAATATATAATCCACCATAAGTAGCTATCGTGACAGTTTTTGTACAATAAATAAATGAATAAGGCAGGATTTTAAATCAGTAATACTAATACTAATACTGTGAAAGATTAAGTTTTTCCTGCTCACATGGAAACCACACAGATCCATTTATTCTTACTGTAGAGATGATGTCATTTACTGTGGACACTCTCAGTGTGATGCATGCAGTCCAATTATTATTGTTTCATTACTGAAATTATCAGTATTGGTTCAGTTTCAGCCCAAAATCAAACATTTAGATCATCATATTTTTTACAGTGTTGCTTCGTTTCGTTTGCAATACACTTTGTAAAGACTTATATATTGTATTCTTTTGTATTCTCAAGTTGTTTTGTGTCACTTTAACAGACACATTTTCTCTTCAAGTGCTGTACTCATGCGTGAATGGCAATCAATCTTTCCGCAAGCTCCTGTTCGGTTTAAGCAGCGTAGCAGAGCAGCTGTATTGTTACTTCTGCCGCACCAATTCTCCACATCTGATCAAAAAAGAAAATTAAAAGGAGTATTCCTGCCTCTCTTCCTGGATCCTGTTTCTTCACAACTGAATGCACATGGATGGGTTTTCTTTGAGGAAACAATGAAATGGCCTGAGCTTTTCTGAGCACAACACCAAGGTAGCAGCTACATCATTTTTCTCATGAGGAGAGTGGCAGACCCGGGAGAGTTTTCCTATATTCGCCTCTTACTACACCTCTTTTCACTTCCTTTCAAAAAACTGTCAGATTCGCCTGAAAAATCCACACTGCACAATGCAGCCTCACAATACACCATTCACTGTCTAAACACTGTAAACAACTCAGCAATTATCCACGTCCTTGTTGACTGACCAAAACCGCTTGGTATCTTCAGGACACGTGAGGGTGCAGCACACAGCAGGTAAAAGCTTCATCATATGAGCTCATTGATCTTTGGAGCAAATGTGTTCAGCACTTTGTTTTCATCTTTTTTAACTGTGACATGAAGTCGACACTGTTCAATTGTCCAAAGAGCCAAAAATAAAGAGGAAACACAAACTGAGAGGAGGAACAGAGGGGGAGACAGGTGGAAGGGGAAGATGGAGGGAGGAAAAACAAACAGAGAGAGCACACACACTCATTGAGCAGTCCCTGTCTCCATCGCCGGTTAAATCCATGTTGGGCATGAGCCTCTGTCCACGGTGCTGAAACAAGCCTCACTACTGCTCTTACATCTGCTTAACATGCAGCCAGTGTTGGTGTGTTACTACTGTACGTATCCAGCCCAAGCCCAGAAGTGAAACATCAGCACTTTGCTGCACACATCACGTGAATACTGCTTGTGCACGTCATCCCACTTGATCCCCAGTTTGCATTTCATGGTAATACAGTCGTCCTCCCAGTTGTCAGTCTTGTTTAGCGAGACTCACAGATCTCCTGCATCCCAGTTGAGCTGGGGTGTTTTGTCTGCCTTTCCCATCTTGACTCTGATTATGTCTCACACCTGTGCGGTCCTGCTTTCCAGCAAGAAATCTAATAGCAAACAAAGGATGAAGTCATGCTCTCCCCTGGGTTGCTTCAGATGCCAAACTGAGACAACCCGGGGATGAACACACAGATCCACACAGACTGACAAACAGACAGAGAGGCAGGTAGTTAGTTTGACTGTGTCCTCTGTAGCCTGCCCTGCTGTGCATTATGAATTACAACTGGCTCCTGTGAGTGGCCCTAACTTCAACTAACTGTAACAATGTCGAGACAGGCGGTAGCAGGGTGCAGCATCCTCTTTTGAAATGCAAATTAAAGGATGAGCGTGGAAATGTGAGGGCAAACAGCAGCTGATGTTGCTGTATGCTTGTGTACTACAGTGTGGCATAGCCGGAGCGCAGTGGGATGTTTCAGGGTGAACACAAATGAATGGTTTTCAATTTAAATAGCAGCTTTAATATTAAGAGCGCATGTGTATGAGGTGATGGGAGTAATTATCCAGTTTAATACATCCTCAGTTACTCCACTGTGTCAGCTCACATTGCAGATGTGCGCTCATCATTTAGCACAACTGTAAGGCAAAGATGATTAACGCAGTCTGGTGCAAAGCTCCTTTAAATGTCAGCCAACAACTTCTTGGTTGTATTCGTGCACTCACCTCAAACAAGGGTCCGATTTTATTCTTCTCCAGATACGACTGAATTCTTGACTGTTGTGGAGACGCCATGAAGAAACTGTTGTGCCTTTGCCAAGAGCTTTTAGCGGGATGAAATCATGAGGTGAGCCGGTGTCAGTCGTCCTTCAGGAGGCGTCTCGGCGACTGAAAATGTGCTAAAAAAAAATAATAAAATGTCACCAAGCCGAAGCCTCGTTTAAGTTGAGACGGTTCGCGTCAAGTGCGGAGCAGGCGGCTCTGAGCCCGGCTCATTGTGGAGACTCAGCCCGGGACCATCCCCAGTTTGTCGCCTCACTGACTCTCTGGCGGCAGCTTCCCGGTAGAAGCCAATGGCACGGCAGCTCTGTGACAGAGATTACAAATCTTCCGCTCACTGGCTGCCAGCACTGTTAACGGTGCCACCGCCACTCCCATTTATCCGCCGGGCTCAGCCAAGCCCTCTGTGTGCACCCGGAGTGTGTTGCTGCTCAGCCATGAGCCACCTGAACGCTCATAAAATGCGCAACGACACACGCACGAGCGCTGAAAGCTGTGAACATAGGTGCGGATCATTTTACTAATTACCGGAAGTACAGTTAAAAGCTCAACAAGTCTTTTTTTCCCCTTAAAAATCTGTAATTAATTTTGCTGCGAATGAAGCAGTAAAACCGTCACTAAAAAAATAAACAAATAAGAATAAAAAATAATAATTAAAAAAAAATGCAGGGGCGGAGCTAGACTCTTAGAACAATGGGGGCGGGGCATGCTCGAGGGGCACCTCTGAAAAAGTAATTTAAAGCCCAGTTCAGACCAAAGATTTGCGACAAGATGATCGTGCAACTAATTGCAACGCATCGCTCTGCAACCTGGCGGTTTACACTACTGCAACTAGATAAGATGGTGCTATCATCTCTATACAACAACTCTGTACTCTGTACTTATTTTGTAACTGAATATAATTTGTAGCTTCTTAAAATATGAATGAGGATAGTGACAGCGAGATACTGGCAACAGTTGCAATTTTAGTAGAGATGAAATGGCAAAAAAACATAAAATGAGTACCAGACGGACTGTATTTATAATAAATATGCCACAATAATATAAGGTTAGGTTAATTGGTGACTCTAAATTGTCCGTAGGTGTGAATGTGAGTGTGAATGGTTGTCTGTCTCTATGTGTCAGCCCTGTGATAGTCTGGTGACCTGTCCAGGGTGTACCCTGCCTCTTGCCAAAATGTCAGCCGGGATAGGCTCCAGCCCCCGCCCTTACCCCTAACCAGATAAGCGGTTACGGATAATTAATGAGTGAATGAATAATATAAGTAAGCAGTGCCAATTAATAAGTCAATGAGAATGTGTAAGTATGTCGGGGGGTATAAGCACATACAACGAGTAGCAGCAGCGACCCACCGTCCGACACTGGCACACCAAGAGGATGGAAACAGAGGGTTCAGTGGGGATGAAGCACCCGCCGCACGCAGCAAGCAAACACGCCATCTGTGGTTATTTTGACTTGACCGGCAGACTGTTGGCTGTTGAAACAGATGATGTGCTTTACGTTCTTAAACCAGCCGCCAGTGATTTGACCAGCTGAGTTGCAGGTGACGCCATCAGCCGGCGTGAGTCAAGCTCAGACAGCCAGTTCACACTGCTGCAACTTTTCTCTGTTATGTTCTATGGTCTGAACTGGGCTTTAAAATTCATAACTGTAAAATAGTTGATAGATGCTTTCCTATCAGTGAACACAAACAAACGTTGTGTTGGTCTATATCTACGAAAATATACAGCGAAGTCACTTTGTCAGACATGCTTGTCTGAAGAATGAAAAAAGGAAACAGGTTGCCCATCATGTTTAAACATTTCAGCACCTAGGATAAAGAACAGCACGCTTTACATGCATGATTGATGAACGGTTCAGCACCACCGCTGTTACAGTCACTGCAGTGGTGCTGAGAGCCAACACGCCTGGTGCACTGTCTAAGTAGGACGTTCTTAAACATATCATAAAATAGGCACAGATGTCTACAACACTGCAAGGTCTAAATTCAAATATAAAATAGACACACAGCAGTCTAGCCCACGTCACCACAGGGCCTGGGTGCAGAGACAGTTGCAGTAACGTGGATTTAAAGGTCTTGTATGTAGGATTTAGTGGCATCTAGCTGTGAGGTTGCAGAACTGAAACTTGTCTTGTGTGCCAAGCATGTAGGAGAACCATAACAGCCAAGGCTGAAATGCAAATGGCCCTAGCTAGTGTTTGGTTTGTCCTTTGCAGGCTATTGTAGAAACAACATGGCCGACTCCACAGGCGAGGACCTGCTCCATACCTAGATATACTGTACTCAGTTCACTCTAAGGTAACAAAAACACAGTGATTATAATACTGTATAATATTTCTGCCAGTAGATGCCTCTATATCCTGCACACTGGACCTTTGAATAGCACATTAATCTAACAATCTGACTGATTTCTTTATAAACAAAAGTTATTAATGACTAATTATGTATGTGTCACTGCTGTGGTTTGTGTAGTGCATTTGTATATTCCTCCATACAGTAGAACAAAAAACAGTACATATCACGGTTCCTTTTTAAAACTTCATCCTCCTCGTGGTGAACTGAAAGACAACAAAGATTAGAAGTACAATGTAAGAGCAGCAGATGATGCAGACAAACTTTTCTCTTGCTGCATTTGTTTTAATCCACCAGATTTGTACTTTCTTTTTACTGCCTAGCCAGAGAAAAAATAACATACACAGCAAATGGCAGAGCACAACAAAACGAGGCTTTGTACTAGAATACTGCAGGGATAGCTGACATTTCCCACCATGCCTAGTTAGAGGTGTGGATTTGGGGGGACGGAACAGGGGTGTCAAACTCATTTTAGATTAGCAGATACAGCCTAATTGGATCTCAAGTGGGCCAGACCAGTGAAACCATTGCACCTATAAATGACAACCACTTCAAGCTTTTCCCTTTTTGTAGTGTAAAGAAGTCAAATCTGAATACATTTATCGATTTACCAAACAAATAATGAACAGCCTGCGATATCCTGAGAAGAATATGTGCAAATTCACCATAATTTTCACTCCTACTAAAATGGTAGAGGCAGGTTAAGTCATCCTCTGCCTCACAAACCATTTACAAATCTCAAGTTTTGTCAGTGCCTCAGCAGCAGGGTTCCACCCATAGAGTTTTAAGATGGAAGTCTGGAACAGATTCTTTTGTACTGAAGCTGCTGGTTGACAGTATTTTGCACAATGTCCAATATCTTTAAATCTGAGCACAGAAGGTACTTATTGTTCTTTCAGAGAGCTGTATTCTGGTCAGGGTGAAGAGCCTCTGAGGCAGCATTTACATGAAATATCTACTCACTGTTTGAATTGCTCCTGAAACCTCCCAGCCTTCACAAGTGTATCAACACGAGGTGTGCAAAGTCATCTAGTGGGTCCGATTGGACCCTTTGGCGAGCCGGTTCTAGTCCCTGGGCTGTGTGCTTGACACCCCTGATTTAGAACCTGTGCATTTGTCCCCCAAATAAAACAATAAAAGAAGCAGAAGACTTTTATTTTGACAAAATTTAAAACACCATAAAATGCAGAAAAGGCTCAAATATGCTCAAATATAATCTATGCCCCTGTGCCAAGTGCTTGAGTGGTGAGTGGAGTGGAGAAGTGGTTACGGATATAAATGTATACATGAGGTCATTTTTGTAGTGTTTTGGAAAGCAAAAATCCAACATTTCCGCATGGATCACACAGACATACACACACAGGACACACAACTGGAGCTTACTGATGCAGTTTATTACCACTTGTGTGTTTGCATAGTAGTGAGCTAGACATCCATCTACAATGATACACCCAATAATAAGTAAAACAGAGGAGACACTTTAATCCTGAGTACTGTCAATATAAAATAACAGAATACATCTCATATCTCTACTTCCAAAAACCTATTTCATGTTAATACTGATAAAACCATTAAAAATCTTCACGTGCATGCATGTAACAGTTGTAAAAATCCAAACACAATGGGAGTCATCTCTTTTAGCACATTCACACTCACTACATATGTATATTTACAAGTGAATACAAACACGTTGAGGAGCGTTACAAAACACACATTCATATGGTTATCCAATACTGAGACAATCGATAAAGCGTAGAGGTCAGAGCTGAAGAGAAGCAGACAAACTGTTGGGTAATTTGAACACAGTACGGCGCCAAATATCCTTTGTAATCAATATTATCGTGCTCATTTCATATGCAAATTAAACTAATAACATGAAATGCAAATGTCCCTCATGAAAACAAACATCATTTTCAGACCATAATGTGCCAACAGTGAACTGATGGGGTTCATTCCATTTCACTGGGCTAATTTAACTGCATTCTCCTGCTATAAATCCTCTGGGTTTTTTTCTTACTGAGTCATTGTCTTGTCAGATGCACTGTGCGAAAAAAAAAAAAATCAAAATATGTATAAAGTACAATCATGAAAAATATAATGTATTAAAAATACTATTTACGTTTTTTAAATTCTATTTACACTTCAGGAAGCTACTCCAGACACATAAAAATGGACCCAATAACTGTCTTTTATTAGGTTGATCCTTCATGGGCGGAGGGAGGACACAGAGCTCCTCGAGACTTCAGCTTCTTCTTGGATGCAATGCATTATGGGTCACCATCCGGGGGTGGAGGCTGGCACAGCTTGTACAACCTGATCACAGAAACATGCAGGCAAAATGGCGTTTAATTACATTCTATTATATAGCGTGTAAACAAAGCAGTGATCTGTAAAGAAATGTCACTTCCCCAGGCAACAGGTCTTTGTTTGGTGCAAAGGAAGTGTAACCACAAATTTAAGCTGCAGTCTCGAGAAGAAAACTGTCAGCGTCGGAAAAACAATTATCCTTAGCAGGCAGCGCACATCCAGCTTTGTGTTTCAAAGTCAAACAACATTAACTATGTTCAAATAGTAGAAAGTGACTTCAGAGTTTAGCTTCTACCTTTGAGTGTTGTTGGTTTTAAAGCTTTAAAAAGTCTGACTTCTGAAACGTACAGAAGCCATATGCTTGGTGTTTTAAATGCCACATGAATAATGCATTAGATCGTTGTTTGCATTTGTAAGAGAATATAAAACCCTGCATGCTCTTTTTTCACTATAACCATTATAGAGTCCATAAACAAGCACTATATGGTCTGTTCTGCTGCCTTAACGAACAGGAAATATAACTCACAACAACACATTTATTTTCCGTTATCAATAATTGATCATGTTTTTCCAAACTCAGTACAATCAACAGTATTTCTTGCATCCTAATAAAGCACTGCTGCCTTGTGTAGTTTAAATAACCGATTGCACCACTCACATCTTTTGGTCTTGATGAGAAATGGCTGCAGGGTAAACTCACATTAAAACTTTACAGTCCTTTTCATCTACAGATCAGTGAACAAGCAGCCAGTGTCTCCCGATGCACAAAGCACACTTCCACATTCTGCAGCAGTCGCTCACACTGCAACAATTATGACATAAACCAGCTGAGAGTGCAGCGATTTTGCTCTGCGACCACAATGTCTCAACACTAATCATCCCGCTA